TTTTTTCTTCCATGCAAAATGTACTACCAAGTGAATTGCCCAGAGCTCTCCCCACCTTGAAAATTTCCCTTTAACACTGTCCTTTTGGAACATAAATTATGCAGGTGGTTTCTAACAGGCAGAAACCATCTGCAAACCAGGCCCTGGCCTTCTCTCCTCCTGACAGCTGATTATACAATCACCCTGTCACACTTTGTGTCCAGGTGTCCCCCCAAAGCCTTATGCAGTCATGGGGCGGCTTCTGGAGTTTGATTATTATGTGGGTGGATGCTGCATCTGCCCCAGGGCAGGCAATTTGTATTATAATGTAAGGAGCGGAGAGAGGCTACCTAGTTGCCTGAGCTGCTGCCACTCCCTTGGCAATCTGGTCTTTGCCACCTCCATGAAAGATTGCTCTCTGCCATGTGCCACACTGCCTTAAAGCAATCTGAGTATGGACTGAAACCTCTGGTAACTGTGAGCTAAATAAATCTTTCCTTCCTTGATTTTGCGAGTGGGTATTTTCCCCGCAATGAGAAAAGAGTAACCAGACACACCACAGGTAGATGCTCAGATAGAAGGTAGTATAGCAGTAGAAGGTGCCACAGGTGTCTGAGCAACTTCTTCAAGGAAGTTGCAGCCCCTGGACCTGCTAAGGCGCGATCATGTATGTACCGTTTCCATTCAATGACGGACTGTTGCTGTGCATATCCAACTTTATGACTCAGTGGAACAGATGGATCTACACTGCATTTTAAACAGCTCAAACCGAGGACTATTGGTATCACAGAGACCATGACATCTTTAGGTCTCATCAAATCAGAGAGGCAACCCTAAGAACCAATACTACCATTAATGAATTTTATCTTTACAGTTCTGTTTCTCCATACCCACTCTAGTGCCAAACTCTACAGCAGTCAGCACTTACTAGAAACAGATCTAATATAGGAAATACAAATATATAAGCATTTACAAGATTGGTTTGCAGTGCTGCCTACAGTCACATGTGGAAAAGTGCAAGTGGGCTGCCTACGCCCTGTGATCTACAGGGTCCAGTCGAAGGCCTGGAGCTCAGTGCAGCATCCCCTACAGTCATATCAGGAGGCAAAGGGTCAGAGCCAGAAGGCTGAAGGGTGTGTGCTGGCAGCTGAAAGGAACAACACCCAAGGCGGAAGCCAGCCTCCCTTCCTTCTTCCTATTCTGTTCACACTGGCTGGCGGCACACCCAGGCTGGGTGTCTGTGCGGCAGTAAGTCCCCTCAGCCACACTCAGAACCCACTTAGGCTTTTCTTACTTACATGGACACACTCAGTTAATTATCACAGCACTGCATTTTCTAAATTACACATTTAAAAGTGTTCTTTACCACTGAGCAAACAAAATTAAAGTGATATAAAAACAGGCCTAAAAGTTTGCCAGTATCTTAAATCTGTCAGGCAAAAAGAGATTTAAAAATGCAATAAAATGTATTAGAAGTATATCCCATGCTCAAGTAATGACTTGTCGAAGGCCTGGAGTATAGGTTTATATGTTTATAAACCTATATGTTTAGTAGGTATTCTGTCCTGTTACTTATATTTTCTTCCAATTTATTTATTGCTTGCTGCATTTTTAATATATACCACATCTATGAAGTATTATAAGTCTCTACATATCACATTGGTATGTGACAAAAATGGATGTTAAACCAATTCTGTATTCCAAGAATAAATTCAACTGGGCCATGGTGTAATTTACAGAGAGAAAGAGAAAAGATTTTTCTGCTTTATTTGGATGAAGATGAGTCTATAATTTTCCTTCCCTTGAAGGTACTTCCAGACTGTGTTGCTAGCATTATTCTGGCTTCCAAAAATCACTTAGAAATTTCTGCCTTTTTTTTTTTTAGATAATTTTTTAATTCATTTTAATGAGAAAAAATAGCAATGAAACAGTTTCAAAACAGGTTAGTAGGACAGTTACAATAATTAATACATTGCATATTGTTTTCTTCATAGTAGTTATGCAGAGGACAAGATTCAGTCATGATATCTTGTCTAAATAATATCAGTACATACTTTTCTTCTCAATGAACTCAGAGAAAGTAGCTGTATATCTATCCTATCTTGCATATACATATATATTTTTTCCACAACAAAACAATCCTTCATTTATACTCCCCCTTTTTTTTGTTTTGTTTTGTCAGAGACAGGTGTTCCATTGCTGTTAGAGAAGCTGTATTTGGAGAAGTCTTTAAAGGACCTTTTCGTACTTGACGCCAGCCCAAAGGTTGTAGGTACCTGAATTCAGCAAAATAACCCAATATAGCCCCATAGTCCATAATATTAGTGAGTTATCAGCACAACAGGCAATTGTCTGAAGTTGGTGACTTGAGCCTTTTACAGCTCAACATATTAATATAGCTTTACTTTTTGTACCTCGTGGTTACACTTTTCTATTGGATGGTTAAGACCAAGTTAAAGCAAGGCCTATACAACTAAAAATGTAACTTTTGCTTTCTGACAAGGTCAGTCAGATCCTCTCAGGATTACCCTGGAACCATGCACAGCACCCTGTGGATCTTTTGTCAGTGTCAGCCATGTGGATGAGTCACAGCCATTGCTTGACCAATTTGTTCTCTGTGAAAGCCTGACAGAATTTATCTCTCTAGGTGACTCTCCTTAGGCACACTATACATCGTTGATCACTTACCTCTGTGGCCCCATAATCTTAATCAGGAAATTTGGGACATCACTTAGTTACAGGAGGTCACAGCAGAGGTTCTCTTATGTCCTAAGACCTCACTGATCTTGAAGGGCTAGGGCCAAAATATTGGCTATCTTTTTAGTCCATCTATTTCTCAAATTTTTGGTCTGCGCACTTTAGTTGTTAAACATCCAGAAGAGAAGCTTAATGATATTATTATCCTGTAACAGAGGCAGTTAAGTTTAACATCACTGTCTGAATATCAAATACCTTAGACATAAAATGGAACTGCTATTTTCCAACAAGCGTGGATATTTTAAAATTTAAATCCCTATAGAATGTTAAAAAACAATTACACATCTTTTACACAGAAATTTAGAAATCAAAATATGTACAACATTGTAGCAGGACAAGCCTATGACATTTTGTTTTTCGTCTCTACTTTTATTACTTTTTTTACATTTACTTTGAAGAGAGTATAGCAATAATTGATATGACATTAGAAGCAGTAATCATTTAGAAGGCAAAAATGACAGGTATTTTAAGCATGGTTTTAGTGTTACACATTGCTGTCTGCAATGTAGTTGCTTAGTTCACAGATATCAGCATACAGAGTTAGTCAGGGTGAGAATTTTACCTATTAACTATTATTTTCAAAAACCTGATGGAAATTCTTAGGACCACTGCCTAACATCTTGTTTACATAAATGCATGATTCTGCCTCTTCCATATTTCCTAACTTTCCTCCTCTCTCTTCGTTGTTTAATCCTTAAGTTCTCTCTTTTCAAAATATCTGTGGATAGTCTTTTTTTTTTTTTCCTTTTTTTTTTTTTTTTTTTGGTGCCCAGGATTTTACTCAGGAACCTGTGCTTGCCAGGAAGGCGCTTACGCTGAGCTATACCCCCAGCCCTTTTTCTTCGAATTTAAAAGGCTAAATTTTTAATTTTAGTCAGTTGTTGATAATGAGTGGTAAAAAAACAAAACAAAAAAAACAGAATGAAAGCAGGGAGGAAAAGCCACAAATATCTCACTCCAATTGTTCTAGTTAGTATATCTTCAGATGACTTCACAGAGATTGGATTTTGTTCCAGCAGAAAACTACAAAGCCTTCTGTGTTAGATGAAATTATTTAGATTTTTGTTTGCCTACAAAAAGAGAGAGCAATTCTCTTAAACTTATAACTCAAACAGCCTTTGAAATTGTTTTCAGTTTTGATATGACCTTTTAAAAAATGCTCAATGTAATTAAAGCAAAGTGGGGATTTAGCTCAGTGGCACATGTCTGCTTGACAAGCATGAGGTCCTGAGTTTGATTCTCAATACACTTCTCAAAAAAAATATAGCAAAGTGTTAATTCAACTGGGATCAAGAGTATTGGGCAAACAAGCAGAAGACATAAAGTTTCAGGGGGATTAGCAAGGTATCAGAAAGAGATGGATTAAGGTGGGAAAAATAACAGTTGTTCTAATGAGCTAAGTGAACTACAGTGAATTATTCCAAAGCTTACCATGGGACAATACCAAAATGCTTCTTGAAAGCTGGATGTGGTGGCACAGCTGCCATCCCAGCATTCTATGAGGCTGAGGTAGAAGGACTGTGGGTTCACACCCAGCCTGGGCAACTTAAAATAGAAAATAAAAGGACTGGGCTGCAGCTCAGTGCAAGACACTGAGTTCAATCTCCAGCACAAAAAAAGGAGGGAGGGTAGGAGGGTTACTCAGTAAATTTTAAGAAATACATACACACCAACACATGCACCCAGATCATTTCTACAAACCACCTATATCAACTTGAATGCAATATAAACACTAACTAGTTCATCTTTCTCCTTGCCCTGATGACTAGAACAATGGTTCTTAAGTGGCATGTCTCAGAATCACCTGTACACTTTCAAATAGTGCAAATGATACACAAGGCCCAGGCTCTAGCACCGCAGGCCCAGAAGCCTGAAAGATGGAACTCAGTAGCTGTTAAAAGCTCTACAGCTGGACACTGATGCATACCAAGTTGGAGCAGCCTACATGTGAGACGCCTGATGCCATTATTTCAACAGAAACTTCTAGCCTTTGTCATGTTTCAAATTTAAATAAAAATATACTGTTTTTATGTTCATTTTTATGTGAACATAAGCTATATTCTAAAATTTCAGATGCTCAAAGGCAAGGGTAATTTCTTCATCATTACAAAGAAACCTCTTAGCTTCTGCCTATGAATATTAAAAAAAAAAAAAAAGAATTTCTAGAATAGTATAAATTTAGGCAAACTAAGTCAATCTGAACTGCTGGCCTTGACTAAGATATGGGCTGACTTTATAAAGCAGTATAAATACCACCCAGTCACCTCAGCGTTAGCCTTGGCTTCTTCTGTGGCTGGTTTAGATGCACCCAGAGCTGTGCCATTGCTGCAGTCAGACATACCTAAAAATAAAATGTGTCAGATGTACATTAAATAATTCAGAGTTGTGTCATCCCACTGACAGTCTTACAAATATCCACAGTGACTAATTTATTTGTAGTCATAATTTTCAAAGCTATTTACATATGTGAATATCTACTAATCACAACAGGTAATGATTCTAAAAGCAAAAATTCAGAAAAATCATTACACAGAATAATAATTTTATAAAATCATTTAGCTATGAAACAATTTAAAAGACCAGATTAACAACCTGATTTGACAGAATTAAAAAATATCAAAATATTAATTATTTGTAGCTACACAAATCCAAGTTCCTAACCAAACTCAGACCTCTCCCACCTTGGGGGACAGCAGTCTTTAGTACTGAAAATAAATGTGAAGCTCGGGCCAGGGAGATGGCTCAGTGGAATGAGTGCTTCCCTGGCAAGTGCAAGGGTCTGAGTTCAATCCCCGGTTCCACCACAATAAATAAATAAATAATTTTTTTAAAAAATGTGAAGCTCACTGCTAAAGAGAAACACAATAGATCCAGATAACATTCAGTAACAGTGTGATGACCAGCTGCTGCAACTAACTCATTCAATAATGTTTGGAGATTGTCAACTACATATGAAGAACTCTGCTAGGCACTAAAGGGAAAGAAAAAATAAAATCCAGTTCAGGTTCTAAAAGGATCCTCAATCTCACCAGAGAGACAGACTGATAAAAGAATTACAAGAGGCCATATTAAAAACTGTAATGCAAAAAAAATTTTTTTTTACTCTTGAAGCACAGCTTTTACAAAGAGAATCCAATACCACACAAAGAAAATAAAACACGGAGGAGTACAGAATTGTTTCAACTAGGAAATCTATTCATATATAGTACATTCATAAACCTAAAGGGAAAAACACATTCTCTACAGACACTGAGATAACAGTATATTTGGCGATCGCTCTTATTAAAAATTAAAGTCAAGGAAATAGGAATTTAAGAGATACTTTCTCAATATCTCTCTTTCTCTCTCTCTCTTCTCTCTCTCTCTCTCTCTCTCTCTCACACACACACACACACACACACACACACATCTTAGTCCCACACCCATTTCATTACTTAAGAAAATAAGGATGCATTCAATAAGATCAGGTACAAGAGAAAGATGTCCACCATCTCTGCTACTATTTAACACTGTACTAGAAGTACTCAAGATACTGAACGGTAACACTCTTTATTCTTGGATGGAGTGACAGCATCCAATGACTTTAAAAAATGCACACACACAGCATCATTCTTTGAAATTATAAATATTAAAAACAACTTATGTGTATATATAGGAAGGTGACCAAACAATGGTGCATCTAAATTATGCAATTGTGAAAAGAAAATGAGAATAGGAAAATCTTTATGATACTGATCATTTACAGGATATACAGCGACCCTCCCCCACCCATAATTTAACTTTTTGTGGTCAGTTATGGTTTGAAAATATTAGAAGTTCCAGATATAAGTAATTCATAAATTTTTAAATTCCGCGACATTCTGAACAGTGTGATGACATGTCACGCCATCTGCTCTATCACACAGCAGTGCAAATGACCCCCTTGTCACCACATCCCCACTGTAAATGCTGCCCATATTCTGTAGCTGTTTCTCAGCCCTCAGTGAATCAGGAGAGGCCTCTATTGTCAATCACCTGTTGGGGTATCACAGTGTTGTGCTCCAGTAACACTGATTTTATTTTATCATGATCCCAAAGCACAAGGGTAGCAGTGCTAGTAATTCCAACAAAGTTCTTCCTTTATATGAAAAGGTAAATACCATAAAGAATTTTAAGAGATCACATTCACAAAATTTTTACGGCAATATATTGTTATAATTGATCCATTTTATTGTTATTAATGTTACTGTACTTACGGTAACATAACTAAACTTTGTCAAATATACACATGTACAGGAAAAATATAGTAAGTAAAGGGTTCGGTACTACCAGAATTCTGGGTATCTTGAAGAATCTGGAATGTACCACCCATAGATGAGGGGACAATTGTACTGTTAGTTTTCAAAAATAAAATCCAGAAAACAGCTATACAATGCAAGCATGAAGGGGATATTATGAAAACACATGCTGCAGTCACTGAAAGAAAATACAGGAAGAGTAAACAGAAATAAAGGCAATATGTTACCTAGAAGGGGAAGATGAGAGGAGCGGAAGGGAAGGAGGGAATGAGAACCAGGTAACAGGCCTAAGGAGAGAGCAAGGCGTCTCTGTATATATATATATGTTTAACTAACTCTAACTTTTAAAAGCCACAGTATTCTTCAAAAAAAGTTTCTGAAATACCAAATAATTAGAACAACTACAATATGGTGAGAACTCAGAATGGTTTAGAAATGTCTACAAACAAACATAATTGTATCATAAATGAGTAACTTTAGGATGAAGACAAGGAAAGAAAAGGAAACAATATAGATCATGATAACTGGGTTTCTCACAAAGACAGAAAATATAAAGAACAGAGGAGAAATGCAAAAATGAATCTTCTGGTGTAGGGCTGGAGCCAGAGGTATCGGCACACACAAGGTTTTAATGTGTGTGTGTGTGTGTGTGTGTGTGTGTGTGTGTGTGTGTAGCAGCGCACTGCCCAAGCTCTGCTCACTGAGGGCTCTGGAAGCCGTGAGACCACAGGATCAAGTATGCTTGGTCCCCAGATCTTGGCCCCCGTAAAAAGCACCAAGGCTCTACTGTGAGTAGTTGACCCTAGAGATGAGGCAGGAAAAATACAAGATGAGCTGGAAATATCTTCTAGAATATAATACATAAATATATCTTCAGAATACAAGGAAAAAAATTTTTGAAGTAAGGCTGTCCAAATATATAAGCAACCTGAAGGAGCCCTTAGCAGCCAAGTCTGGAATGAACTAAGCAGCAAAACAAATGATAGTCACAGATTTAAACGCAGAGAATAAAACAAACCTAAATGTGTCCATAAGGACATAAGCAACCAAGTAAAAGTAAATAGGGAAAAGACTCTTCTCACGAAAGAACTCCAACTAAAGGTATAGAAATCAAACACAATTACCATCAGGTAAGCACTGCAGATACTGCAGACCAGATTCACCTGACAGACGCAAAAATGGAGGCAAAAGTTTGAAGACAGTAGAATACAGCTTCAAAGTAACTCACACAAGGCAGCTAGCTGACAAGGGAGACACAGTACCTTTGTAATGAAGAGGTTCAGCACACCAACTTAACCAAGCGGTCAGGAACAGTTGCACCTCAGTTCACGAATGCTTTTATTTGTAAGCAATTTGGTTCATAAACAAGTGTTTGGCAAAATTTTGTTTTTATTTGCAAACTCTGCATCAGGCGACGAACATGACTGCGGACATCTTCAGAACTGTGGAACAAATTAAGTTCATGAACTGAGGTACTACTGTACCAGCACTAAGATGTGGCACTATCATCAACCCCGTAATGTGAGGCAGGGAAGAGGATCCATCATTTTTGTGGTATTCTTGCCCAAAATGAGTGATCTTAGACTAATCATATGAAAACAGGGCACAAGCACAAATTAGAAATTAATAGTAACTAATCAGCCTTTTTATTTTTATTTTTTATATTTTTAAAATTCAAAGAGAATAGAAAAAGAATAGGTAAGACATTAGAAATGATAAAATGTATATCATTAATCAGCCTTTTTAAGTGTCATAGTGGGGCCAGATGTGGAGGCGCACATCTGTAATCCAGCCTTTGGACAGCTGAGAAAGGGAGACTGCTTCAAGCTCAAAGCTAGCCTGAACTGCACAGCAACAACTTATCTCAAAAAACAAAACAAAAAACCCCAAAGTCATCAAAGACAGGCAAGTGTGAGACAATTACAGATTAGAAAAGACTATGGAGAAATAAGTCAGTATGGGTTCCTGGTCCTGGAACAGAAAAAGGTCAGTAGTTGACAAATTTGATTGAATTCTAGTAAGATCTGTAGTTTAATAACATTGTACCAATTCTTGAAAATTATTGCTATGTCAGATGTAATTAGCATCAGGAATTGGGGTAGGAAATATATAGGAATTCTTGTATTATTTTTGTAAGTCTTCTATAAGTCTAAAATTAGATGAAAATAAAGTTAAAATAATATTAAGGAAGATGGCAGAGCTATAAGCAGCAATAAATCAGTGTCTCTGAGATGCAGAATCCAGATACGGGAGAAGAAAAGAGAGACAGAAGTGAAGACCTGAGGTCTAGGAAGGATGATGTGAAGGGAAAACTGGATCCCAGAGAAAATGAAGACTCAGACCACAACACAGAAAATGGAAGCAGCGACCCGCATTTCCTCCCTGGCTCCTGGCTGTGGCCAGAGAAAGATCAAATCTGCAGTTGCTGAGTGACTACACTTCACTCCTTCGCCATATCCCCTGGACTGCGCCACATGAACCTGGGCTCAGGGGAACTTCAGGGTGGCCTCATCTCAGGGATCCCCGTGTTGAAACACCCACAGTTACTGAGAGAGGAATGACCACAGGAGATGTCCTTGGCCAGGGAACTGCAGTCAGGCTGGAAGGAGACACCCCAAAGCGCTACACGCTAAAGCACTCGGGCCCCAGCCCCAGGTTCCAAGGCTGACTCAGCCTGAAATTTCTGTGGATTTGAAAAATCCCAAACCAGCAGGGTGCCCTAATCCTACAGCCAGCTTGTTGAGATTATCCAGCCCAGATCTGGGGATTTGACCAGCTCCCACCTACCAGCGAGAGCATGGTCACACCTTAAATTTGACACTGCCACAAAACTGTAGACCCTAGAAGGTAACCATAGGCTTGAAATCACAGAGAAATTTCTTTTTTTTTTTTCCTCTCCTGTTCATTTGTTTTGTTTTGTTGTGTGTATGACTGTGAACATTATTTTTAGTTATTTTGTTTCATGTTATTTGTTCTTGTTTTTTCCTTCTTTCATTCATTCATGTCTTCTTCAACAGTCTACTGAAACTTATTTTCAATTGTTTTAAAGCCTTGCTTTTACTCT